ATATATTATATATATACATATATATATATACATATATATATACATATATATATATACATATATACATATACATATATACATATATATTTATACATATATATATATACATATATACATATATATTTATACATATATATATACATGTATATATATACATATATATATATACATATATATATATACATATATATATATATATATGTATATATATATATGTATATATATATATGTATATATATATATGTATATATATATGTATAAATATATATGTATATATGTATATATATATATGTATAAATATATATATATGTATATATAATATATGTATATATATATGTATATATATATGTATATATATATATATATGTATATATATAATATATGTATAAATATATATAAACAGTTTAAAAGTAAAGCAGCCTTTCAAACTTTACAGTCCAGGGGGCAGTTGAAATAAAGTTCAACTACTCCAGTGACCTCAGCATATCAAGGGATAGTGTGGTCAGCACTTAAGTCCGGCAGCCTCTACTTTCCCTAACCTAATGTGAGTCGGGTACCTAACTCAAAACTTTTGGGTTAGCAATTAAATGCTTAGTAAAATGAAATGCTTAGAAAAATTGAAAAAAAAATAATCACTACTTCTAGCTTAAGTTTTTATCTGTCGAAATCTGGTATTTTTTATATCTGTAACATGTTTGAATGTGTTTTGTATTTGTTTGCAAAGTATCAGTTACATCAACAAATTTCAACGTTTTGTGAGTACCGATTGACCGCACAGTTTCATTTGGCCACTGCTTCGCGACCAAGCATTGTAGAAGCATAATCTAAATGTCACTTTAAAGAATGAATTCTAGCCGACCGTTTGATGTATAAATAAAAAAAAATAACTTTTTATTTTATTTTTTTTAAAAATCGGTTTGTAAACTTTAAATGACGATAAATACGTGGAAAAAAAACAACAACTAATTTTCTATTTTTACACCGATGTAAAGTTCAGTTTTATAACTACTTTGTGTTGTAAATTCACAATTTCTCATTTACGGTTGCAAAGCTGTGCCCGCAATAAACATATAGATCTAGACCTCGCGCCGACTTTCAGACCCGAGTGAGTAGCTAACCAAACTGTTTTAAAGGTTGATGACAGATGATGCTAAACGGATTTTACCCTTGATAGAGCCTTCAAACAAGTCGTAAGTACCATAAATGAATTTTAAGTTTGAATGTAAGTTTGGTTTAATTAGTACAAGTACTTAATATAAATTTGAACGATACTAGTCCACGGTTTTAGCATGTGTACTACGCTTGCACACATGGTGTGTTTAGACATGAAGCTATTTAGTTCGAGACATTCTAGGGACTTAAAAAGTGAATGCACTTAACTATTAGATGCTAGTGTTTACTAATTCTTTAAAATCTATCCAATGGGATTCAGGGGCGTAGCGAGGGGGGGCGGGGGGTGCGGACCGCACCGGGTGACACCATTTAGGGGGGTGACACCAAGGCAAAAAATAGCAAAATATATAGAGAAAAACTTGAGGGGGGGGGGGGGGGGGGGTGCAAATCGAAAACTTGATGGGGGGCGCAAATTGAAAATTTGCAAGTTTGTCCCAGGAAGGGTCGCTATGCCTCTGGGGGGGGGGGGGGGGGGGGGGTGGTGACACCATTAAGTGCCGCACCGGGTGACACTCGACCTAGCTACGCCACTGATGGGATTAATGATAAGGTCGTATTACTAAAGTTTATCAGGACTTCCACATCAAATTTATGAATTAAAAATAGCCACCAGACAATCTTGGTTACTATGTGGACGGACTCAATTATTTACAGGGAACGAAGTTTAACACTTATAAATATTAATGAATCACAAAAGAAATTTGTAATTATAATAACTATTCTTGTAAATAGATTTTTATCATTTATTTAAAACTAAAGACACTAAATTTTAAGGACTAATGTAAAAATTCATTTTTACTTTCTGTTGTGCACTCTAATTCTGATTCCCACTCCTAAATAATGTGAAATGGTCTGCGCCAGTCTCCTTAATAAAATGTACCAGATCAATTTTTAGATGGTGGTGCAATTTATTAAGATTGTACATGTTGTGACATAGTTTTAAATGTTAGTTGTAAGTGTAAGTAGTACTGGTAGTGTTTCTTATCATTTATTTATATCCATATAGTAAAAATAGAGGAAAGTTAAGTTGTCCTATAGGATGTTGAGAACCACAGTTGGGCATCTTCATCATTGGATATCTCAACCAGTGTGGCACAAGCAACTAATACTTCATTCAGTAGATCTACTATTAAAAATTTAATATGTGTAAGTATACTATCAAGTATATATTACTTTTAACAAAAAGTTGTTTTCAGGCTTTTTCATGTTTCCAGTTATAGGACGAATAGTAGGCCTACACAATAGGCTAGTAGTTAATTTAATTATATTTTATTAATCACTAAATCAATTGTTTATTCCGCAGCTGGAGACATTTATGATGGCCTATCCGGAACTTTCCTTAAAAGGGAAGGGAAGAAGGCCAAGCCCCTCCACTACAGTTACTCTTAATGCTTAACAAAATCAAGGTTGAAACGACTTACAAAGATGTGGAGTTGTAATTGTAAACCCAAAGCAATTATCAACCCGATAGGTTTGAAAAGAAACCAAAGCATGTGGCATCAGCTGCTGCATCACTTCTAGGCATCAAGTCTTTATTAGACTAGACTACATTACATTACAACTCCGCTAAATTTAGATTCTATTTCTCCTGTACTAGATAAATGTGGCATTTTTAAAAATAATATTTTAACTCATGTGATTTTTTGAAAATAATGAACACATTCTTCCTGTTAATGTTACCAACACAATAGTTTTAGAGTTATTTTATGTCTAAAACAAACAAAAAATTTGAATTATTTATTTTTTTGGTATGAAAATAAAAATGGCCAAAACGCATTCTTGTAATTTTCAATTATTTTTTTTTACCTTAGAAAGACTCATTTTAGATGACTGAAAAAAATAGGGCGTATATATTACAAAATTGCAACTTTACCAATTTCTACACTTCTATGTTATTTAGTTTAGAAAATATGGGTTTTCAAAAATGGCACTTTTTAAAAAGCATTTTTTTAAAACCGATTTTGCTTTTTTAAAAATCGCATTACTTTTTTATTTATTGAGATATTTTTTATAAAATTTGCGTCATAAAGCTTACAATAAAAGTTCTTTCAGGGCATACTCACTACAGAAGTCTGCAATCAATAGTATTTCAGTTTGGACTACCTACTTCAACCACATCGCTGCAAGATTATTATAAGAGTGCAATATTCTACAAGAATTTAACTATGGTGCAAAATGTTTTAAGCTATATTTCTATTACTTAAAATTTACACTTTTTCAAAATTAAACTTTATTTTAAAATGACATATGAACTTCTCAACTGAAATTTAGTTTCATTTTAACACGCGAAAATTTGAATTCACATAACATTGCATCAGTTTGATCACTCATGTGAGGTCTTGCAAGTTGAAGAGGGGTGAGGTTAGATGAATCAGGATAGCTTGTAGGGTTATGAACATGATTTGGGAGAAGAAAGTATTAGTTAGTTTGCTTTTGAGAAGAGAATCCTTTTAATTTAGCATAAATTTGATTATATTGTACAATTTATATAGATTGTTTAATTGTATGTAGTATGAGAAATGTTTAATTTTGATTTATAACACTAAGTAGATCACAAAATCATACCTACCGATGGTTGTTTTGCACATGGACAGTACCAGGGTCTTCTTTTGGCTTGAGAGATTGTTTCGTTCTAGTTCGAGTACTTGGACCTTGTTTATCTAAAGAATTTCTTTCTTTTGAAAGTTGCGTTTTTGTTTTGCAAAATGTTTCAGAAGAAACAGCTAACTCTGCCAGAGATACTGTACTATTTGAAACTTCCTTTAAATCATTAAATGAAATTATTTCCTCTGCATAAACTGTGTCTTGATACTCATTGCTTTTCTTTTTTCCAGTACCTGTATTAACATTTCCATCAATAGAAATACTGCTACTAGCTGAGTATTCATTTTTAGTAACTTGTTGAGTAATATTCTTATTAACCAGTGCAGCAGTGACAGGAGTGGTTTTAACTTTAACTATTTCATACTCCTTCAGCATAGCAGGCTTATGATCACCACAAAGTTCAAAAACTTCATTTACGATTATTTGTGTTTCGTCAAGTATATTAGGCAGTTTGTGGCTACACAAACTTTCATCTTGGAGTTCAGATTTCAATTTCTAAAAAAAAAAAAAAAAATCATTTTGCAGAGATGTAATTAAGAGTTGAAATATAACAAACTAGTTTAACTCATTCAATTTCAAGTACAGTACTAAAAATAGCTGAATTCACAGAAAATTTTTCATAACTGTTGATTTTTCATTATTAATAGAAAATTTTAAACACATGACCCATTTTTGTAACAAAAAAACTATGATGGATAGGGGGGAATTGATTAAAAAATTCAAAGTGAGTGTTATTTAAAGCTTTTAAGTCAACCAAAACATTTTATAGTGTTTGGTACTTTGAATGGCATCATTAAAGGCATCATCATAATTCCTGTGGACCCCTTGTGGAACTTGGGATGCAGCCACACCTCTTCAATGTACTTAGTTCAGGAGGGATGCCTACAAGTTGGGTCCACAACATTCTGACTGCTTCGGCTGACCTTTTTAAGTTCATTTTGGCGTACCTACTTTCTTCTTTCTTTCAAGATTCAAACCTAGTGCCTGTCTGGAGATGTTGCAAGTTGGTTAATGCAAGTTGTGTTCATCCCATCCTCATTTGCGCTTTTGTATTTCTGTGCCAATGGGGTATTGCCCAGTTTTTCTCCACAGATCAACATTGGTAGTTTTATCAAGTCACGTTTCAGAATCATATGAGAACAGATTTCACATTGCAGTTAAACAGTCATATTTTGGTAAGTGTAAACCATTCTCCACAGATCAACATTGGTAGTTTTATCAAGTCACGTTTCAGAATCATATGAGAACAGATTTCACATTGCAGTTAAACAGTCATATTTTGGTAAGTGTAAACCATGCTTTCGACACCCAGGTTGTGAGGGAGGGTGTTGAATACATACCTGGCCTTGCTGATGCAGTTGAGATGTTCTCATCTGTTCCCCCATCCTTGTTAACTACACTTCTAATATATGTGAAACAATCCACCTCAGAAATAGTCATTTCTTGTATTCTAAGCGAGAGCTCCTGTTTATTGTTAATTCTCATCACCTGTTTTTGTTACAATTGATCTTTAGGCTTGTTGAGCGCTTCTTTGCTGAGATTGCTTAGCTTGGACTGTACATACTATTGTCAATGTGAGAGCAGGCTGATGCCATCTGCAAAATGTAGGTCCTCGAACTGTTTACTGAGGCTCCACTGAATGATAGCTGTAGCCAGGTTGTTCTTTTCATGATCCAGTGAGTGAAAATCAACAAGATCATTGGCAAAAGCATGCAGCCTTGATGCACTCAAATTATCACTGGAAAAGGTTAGTCAATTTGTGGATAATCTAGCTGGCCTGCAAGATGCCACCAAAATTTTTAAAAGGCATTCAATTTTAAATCCCCACCTCCCCCCAATACAACTATTATCTTATTATGAAACAACACGCTAAGTAGATTAATAGTTTCAATTTAATTAGAAACAGTTTCCTCTTTTTAAGATAAATGGTTCCCCTTTAGAACCTGTTTCTTGACTTAGGCAGTTGAAGGGATGCCCAGCCACTTTTACTATCCTTGTAGAATTTGCTTGATAAGATTAATTACAATATATATGAATTATGTACATAACTGTGCATTATGAAGGCAATCACAACAATCTGAGCCTTAACGTTCTTACATAACACCATATGTAAGTCAAATAAAAATGCTTTATTAAGCCCAGAAGGTAGATTGGATAGATGAGGCACTTACAAAGGACCATTATGCTAGCTCAAATAACATGCTTAAGTGCAGACATTTAAAAAAGAAAACAGGTCAATAATACCCCGAGTATAGTAAAGAATAAAAAAAAACTTCATGGACTTTGAATGTATGGAACAATGTAAAAATAAGTTAAGTAACAGTATTATTTCCATCTACCATCAGTATTCTTGACTTGCAGGAAACACTAGTACTATACATAGTACAAGTGCATAGGCTGTACCTTCTCTGAAAAATCTCTTGTGCTAAGAATAGGTTTACCCAAGAAAGTTGTACTTACTTCGGTTGTGTCAACTCTTAAATGTTTATCATATATGTCACTTGTTGGATGTGAGGAATCATTATTATTTAAACCACGGGATGATTTTTCTGGAGAAACATTATCTGTCCACTCTTTTAAAGATTTGCAGTCAGTTTCAGATTTCTGTTAAAAAATGTCAGATGTTTAAATAACCTCACACTTTATTAACCACTCCCCCCATTATTTTTTTAATAGCCACTGTTCAATAACTTGAACTCTCATATTGTTTTATTAGACGATGATTTTAATATATTCCATTAATAAGACTAGTATTAAAACTAGAAAATTTTTTAGTGGAGGATCATTTTTTAAATTTTTTTTGACTTACTTGAGGTGATTTCTTGCCCAATACAAATGAGCTGTTAAATGCTTCACCATTGTTGGAAGTTATGTGCATTTCATTCTTTAAACTGGAACATCCAAAAAGATCCACACAAAGATTTTCTTTGTTGTCAAGGTGATTCTTGTTAGGTGCAGTGCACTTCAAAACAGCTGAGTCCAAATGTGAAGTTCTTTGTGGAACACCATCAAAAACATGCTCATGTTTTGCATTAGTTCTACATTTACGAACTGGACGAATGGGCTCTCCGTAATTTTCACATCTAAAGAAAATTTTGTTTTAGTTTATATATTTCAATGTATATGTATTTAGTGTATGTTATTTCAAAAATCTAAGGAGTTCCTGACTATTCTGAGTACCCTCAAATCCCGGTAAAAAATAAACTTTAACTTAATTAAAACAATAGTTTAAAAATATTTGAACTTTGTGCTTGTGAGTTTTCTGTTCATATAGCATTAACTTTATCCTAAGCCTTTTAAAGAAAAGCAATTTATAGATATCTTATTATAATGAGTTATTACACCATTTACAAATAGTAAGTAATTAAACAGTAGTGTTAGTATCCTCACAAACTAAAGACAATTACAGGTACAGTGGTAGGGGGTTGGGGGCGTGGTGCACAGGGAAGTGGTCAGATGAAAATATCTGCTCGTTTAAGCCTTCTGGGGATCTAGTGCCAAAAGTTTCTGTGTTCAGGCAGTTTTTTAAAATTATGGCAAAAACAAACAGCAGTCAAACCTTAGTTTTAATATTACGTTTATTATTAAAATGGTTAGCCACAAGTAAAATAATTTTTTTAAAATGTATGCATACCACAATTTATACATAAAACTTAATGGAAAAAACTGGGTATTAAATTGGAATTTAACCCCTCCAACACACATCCACTTAACATAAGCCATACCCCTCCTTAATGTGAATGTCTGCATAAATGTGGCAACGTGACCCCCCCCCCCCCCCTCAGGTCAATTATTAACTAACCAGTATCTATATTGGGGAAGGAGTGGTCTAGTGGTAAAGAGCTGGACTGCTAACTCGTAAGTCTCCAGTTTGAATCCGGTTTCAAGTCAGTAGACCGTCCCTGAGTCCACCCAACTCTGATGGGTACCTAACTCATGTTAGTGAAAGTAAAGGCGGCTGGGCATAGTGCTGACCACACTATCCTTTCATATGCAGAGGTCACAGAAACAAGTGAACTCTACTTCACTTGACCTATTGACCGTCAGGTTTGAAAAGGGAACTTTACGTGTATCTATATGGATAGTTGAAAGTATGAATGTGTGTCTGTGGGCAGTGATTTTTATGCATAACTACACCTTTCATATGGTTGACATGAGAATACTAGTGAGTTTTAGTGTAGTATCTGTGTTGCTGGAGAAGGTTAGGGCATTGTCTTATCATGCTATAATCGTTCAATAAATCGAATCTAACAGATGCATTCTCAGATGCCTTTTGGCGCCATGCTTATTTACAACTTAAAGTTTTAATTAATGTAAAGTGGAAAGAATAAAATCAACCTAAATTAATTATCCTTCACAAAAATTACAATTTTATCTAAAAAAATAGTATAAATTACTTGTACTTATATTTACGTGGTTTAAAAATTAAAATTTCATTAGAACAAACTTAAATTAGTGTTTGTGTTAATGGTTAGGGTTTTGTTTGTTTATGTGGTTGTTGTTTTAGACACTGAAGTGCGAGAAGTGAAGAGGGTTTATATTTATTTTAGTTTGAGGTAAGGGCTGCTTAATGTGTGTGATTTCGTTTAAGCTGTGTTTGTGTGGCTGTTTTTAATGCGTATAAGTACGAGGAGTGCAGAGGGTTTATATTTATGTTTTACATTATTGTTTGAGAGTGAAGTGAAGGTCGGTTTATGTTTATTTTGTGTTTGTATTTATGTTTGTGGTGAGGGTTAGGGTTTGTTTGCATTTGTGGTTTTTAGGCATATAATTGTGGTAGGGGAGAGGGTTTATGTTAATTAATGTTTGTGGGTATTGGTGACTGTTTTATTATGTATTTTTTTATGTTTGTGGTGGGTTGTGATTAGAGTTATGTTTAAAATTAGGTTTAGCGTTAAATATATCTTCTCAAACATCGATATTTGCATATGGACGTTCAATGGGAAATTTAATTTATTCCAAAGACCCAAGCACAGCAGGTATATGGGGCTAAATAAATACTCAAGTCTCAGTCTTTTACACAAAAGTTTTTTTAAAAAAAGCCAGTGCAGAACCTGGATGACAAGCCAAGTACTATATATTAAGTCTTATTTCGTCTGTCCATCACTCAAAAATATTTCAAATATCAATTGGTTCAGAACTATAAGTTTCCATAACATGTATATGTCTAAAAACTTTATACCACTTTAAATCTGAACTTTGTTTTTACATTTTGAGAAGTAATACATTATTACATATTATTTATTTATGTTTTTAAAATGGCACAATAACAAATTAAATTACATAGATTAAAGGAAAATAACCCCAATGAATTACGAGTTTTAAAAATTTACGTTCATTTTTGATTCTTATATTATTTGGATACTTTAAAAATGATACATCATTAGAAAAAAACCACATATATTTTTATCTATATATATAATTCTCTTCTGGGAGACGTTAGAAAACAAGCTGCAAGCGCCTCCTTACAGTCCCCTCTCTATCTCTCTATCACTACCACACCCACCCCACACCCACATGGTCTGGTGAGTTGTGGTCACGCTAAATTAAATGTTTACAAATCGTAGAGCCGGGTTTAGAGACGGCTATTAGGGGCAGATAATTTAGTTTGAAACGATTTTAAACTTACAGGAGGTAACTAAGAAGAGGCTGCGTTCACGGGGGGGGGGGGGGGGGGGTTAGGGAAAGGGGGGGGGGGGGGTTTAGTGTTTTAAAGCAAAAGGAGTTGGGGAAAGGAGGGGGTATCGTCCTTATTGAGCTACTGATAGTGTTTTAAAGCAAATATATTAAGTGGCAGCATTGGTACTGTCGAATTCACAAATTATGAATTACTGAAAAGTAGAAAATAAAAGAACTAAATAGCGGCGTATGATACGCCGCGGGTCGGCTCGTATTTTATATTTTATGGAAACATGGAATGACAATTTTAAAAAGGTTTTTATGATTATTAGTATTTCATAATGTCCGAGGGGCTTTAGAAAATATTATGCTTGGTTAAAATGGTTGTGTAAGCATAGTATAATAAATGCTTAGGCTTATAAGTTGACCCTGTACTGTAACTCAGAATGTTGCTAAAACGCAACATACTATTTGCAATTGTGAATTAAGTTTGAAATTTAAAGACTATTAGATATACGCCCTATCATGTAACCATATAATCCTATAAAGAACCATGACATTTAAGTTATGTATGTATTGCACAGCCAAGCAGTTGTACATAAATGACATCACGATAAATAGAATTTTATGCACTCCCAAATCGTCATTAATTTCTAGACAGCCACACTATAAATGGCATCAAAAGTTCAGTTTACAGCCCCACCCACCTATCAAATAATTTTTTTTCCAGCACAGCTTGCAATTTCTGACTAGCTTTATGAAATTATGAAAAATAGTGGATGCTCGTGCATGAACACCTTTTCAATAACATATTGTAGTTTATTCATAAAGCCACAGCAAGTTTACAAGCCATTAACTATTAGCCATCCCCAAATGACATAGGCTAGATACTAAGACTCTACTGTAAAGAAGTGAAACAGTGACATTGGAAGTCTGTTATTTTAAAGTTATTCTTGGAATAGTAATTATTCATCAAGATTTAAAGTGATGTATCTCGAGCCAGCAGTCAGAGTGATTTTTTTAATGAATTGGATGTGAGCTGATATTCACTGTGCTGTGTAGACAGATATTAAGAAAGCAAGACAAGCAGAAGCCTTACTAAAAAGTAAATAAATTTTAGATTGAACTAGTGCTAGGCCTATAAAAAAATGCATGTGCACTCCCTTTGAATTTGATCCAAAGTACATTTTTTTTAAATTGCTAGGTTCGGAGAAAAATAAAGTGACATCACAGATTATCTCATATAGAAATGTTTCATGCCATGATGTATGTATGCTGATATGTAAACTAATGCAATATTACAGAAATACTATGGCTATGATCACCTTTTTAATCCATTTTCTTCCTGTAAATCAGATGATGGTTGGAAATTAGCATATTTTTCTTCAACTTTGTTTTTAACCCTTTTCTGTCTGCGTTTTTGACAAGGTGTTTTAGGCATTGGAATTAAAACCATACTGAAACAAAAAAAAAAGTTATTACTTGCCCATGGTACATTGATATCGAATCAAAAGAGTTAATGGATGCTTTCAAGATTGAATAATGCATTTTAAGAAATACTAAAAAGGTTTAAAAGTATGTGTGCTTTTCAGTTTTCAAAATGGTCCCCAAGACCTAAAGGATGCCAATGAGGTAACAATCTAACATAGAAAGGCTGTTCTGAGGCATCTCATTGCTAAGTATTATTAGTAAGGCCTAAGCACAAGTGATCCTAAGAAGGCAATATGCTGGAGAAACAAGTGTATCTTGAGTCACAATGTTGATTTAGTGCAGGAATATCTTATATCTAAAACAAGATGTGTTCTTTGTGAGCTTCTTTTTGCGAATGATGCTGCGCTCACCCCACACAAGCAGGTATAAAGAAGTCGAAAGTTGTAGCTGATAGTTAAGTTTGACAAAAAAATAATCTTGCACAGGATATTTCTCAAACTCCTGAAATCAGCATCACAAATCGCATGCTCAGTTGTGCAGGTATTTAACTACCTGGGCTCTACCATCACCAGTGAATTCACTTAACAAGAGATATCAAAGACAGCAAAGACATACAAAGACAACAAAAAATACAAATGTTTATTAAAATATAGGCCTAATAGCTAATTATTTCAATTTTTAAAGTCATAATTGCTGAAGCCAAAAAAGCATAAAATAAAAGTTTTATTAAAACCTTTATAAATATAATGATAACCTTTGAAATGCTACAAACATTTTTTTTCAAACTTACTTTATAAATAAAAGCCTTGATTGTTCCTAAAATAAAACTTCTAACACATTTTTAGCAAATGATACTGATAGTTACTTCAGAAAACAAGTTTTCACAATTTTCAATGTATTTAAAAAGCTCTGTCAGATGTATTTTTTCTAGGAACTTGTTTGCTCTTCTATAGGTTCAAAACATTTTTAAAAAAAAACTAGCTTACCTTTCCTGCATGTTGCTGCACGCCAACAATATTTTAGGAGGATTTCATCGTGTGTTACCAATTGTGTATTTTTAAACGTTTAGATATAACCTACTCTTTTAAGCTAACATAGGCGTTATAGTGCTCACAGAGCACCACCCTTTCCAAATTAAATTTTTTTTTGACAGAAACCTTCCCACGAGCTACAGTAGAATAGCCCAGCTACAATAGATTGTATGGCAATCTGATGAAAGGTGTAGCAATTCCATAAAGGGACAAAGACACCTTACATACTTTCATTTTAATATATACAGATAACAATGTACACTCTTGACAAAAGACTCTTTACAAATACTATAACCTTTTTTCATTTGGCCAACATACCTTTTAACTGAAAACATATTATGAGCCACTTGAACTATTTCCTCTAGCCATTTAAAATCAGCATTCACCTCCTTCAACATGTTTTCTAACACACTCTGGCAAATCTTGTGTACAGAAAGCAATGACCTGCATGTCTTGGGAAATGAATCTATCCAATCAAGGTTTGACATCTTTTAAAGCTGTAGTGTTTCTCACGATTTTTCTTGATAAACTTTAATTCAGTATCCACTTAAACAAAAGAAATTTTTAAAATTAAGAATATCAGTCAAAATACTCTTTAGATCTATTTATTAAACATATATAGTATATAGGCCTACATGATCAGTTATAAAAACCATAACATTGCTTTCCCAGAACCAGGCTGTTCTATCTGCATTTTCAATCTTTTTCAAGTTACTAGTGCCATTGCCTTGCTTATCCATTAAAGTTAAGTGTAATGGTAAAAAAAATGTAGCAACATTATTAAGTAACAATGTCAAGCCACTTTGTTCTTACTCTAAAAACACAATTCAGTTCAAAAACAGTGTTATTCCAAAATCTTATTAGATCTACAAATTGTTTTAGGTCACGTGCAGTGTACATGTTTACATGTGAACAGTTTATGAAATTTGCCTATGTGTGTTTGTTTTCCAAACTTGTCAATTTTTTTGTCTGTTATGTAGTTGAAAAAAAAATGCCTTGAGAATGGAATTGTTATAGAGAAAAAAGGCTGTATGCATACATATTTTATAGCTTACTGAATATTACATAGAACGGCTATTAGACCCGGCATTAAGTTTGGTCTATAGATACACATTTACATATAGTGTATTAAAATGTATACCGTGTAGGTTTGTAAGTACTTTGTTGTGGTATTTTGTTATATAGTTCTATTGATTTGCTAGTATTAGGACCTGTGATTAATATGCATGCTTTTTTTTAGAATCTATCTTTTCAATATTTAAATGTGTAAATATGCCAATTCTAAATGTTGTCGCTCCTATGATTGCAGCTCACATTTTGGTTTAATTTAGCATCTATAGCCATACCCCCAAAATCACCATTTGGGGCAAATGTAAACGGGCCATGGGGCATTAAGTATTATCTCCTAGTTTAGAATACCTCCACAATAAGAATCATTAATTTCTAACCCCAAAATAGTTAATGCTGTGTACACACATTTTAACTTTAGATGATGCCAGCTATAACTAGGCCCCGTTGGATCTAGTCCACAATTTATACAATTGTAGGTCTGCATAGGGTCTACAGACTAACAGTTTATATTAGGCACATTAGTATACCTAGATTGTAGCTGTTCAGAGTCTTAGATGTAAAAAGGGGTGGTTCTAACTAATCTGCCTTGATGCTTTCTCCTGATAAGCTATGTGTGCTATATAATACATGGAGGTGAGAAATGTTGAGGGGAGAGCAGTGATACTGAATGTTATGATGCATGTCCTCAACATAGGTTAGTGGGCAAGTATGTTGAACAAATGGATGATGTGACTTGTATAGAGTGATAGTGACATTTTTGTGTAGAGACTGGTTGCTGTGTATTGTGTGTGAGTTAGTCTGATTATTTTTTATAATAAGACACTGCGATGCACTGGAAAGCACTGCATGTTGCATTGTTTACTTTTATGGTTCCAAAAGCTATAGCGATGAAGGAAGGAAGGAAGGACTGACACACCACAGCCCACTTATATTATAGATTGAACATTCTCTAGCCAAATTGACAGAAAATCACTTTTCTAAGTTTGCCTACTCCACCCTACCTAAAATTTTAATAATTAAAATAATTGGTTAAAATGATGCAACTGTTTTGTTTCCAACATTAGACTTATGTAATCTGTTCATTATCTAATTGCTTATGTTTTCGATTAAACTATTATTAAACTGGTATTGCAAAATAGTGAGAGTTAATTACTTTAAAGAATAATAATCTAATGGATTAATTTAGGTCTGTTCTTGCTAAGTAGCCTATAGTATAACTTATAGCTGAGAAACAGGTCTGCAATAAAAAAAATTGCAGGTATCCTCCCCCCCCCCCCCCCAATCCCACACACAAGACACAGTGAAGGGCTCACTGTGAGGTCATAGCAGTCTAGGCTTCAGTATACCTGTTTAATACGTCATAACATGAACTGTGATGTGACTTATACCCCCTCCTTACCAAAGAGTACCATCTACGTACTTGGGTTCACTGTGACCGTAGTTACAAGGATGGGCGGGGTAGTCTAGCTTTAATCGTCAGTATTTGCAAAGATTTAATGGAAGGTGGAAAGGTGGATTAAAAATAAATGGATCATCCATTTATGAAGGACACATTGGGGGGGGGGGGGGGGGGGTGTCGGAAGATTTTGTGGATGCTTGTAGAATGGGAAGCTTCTAAATTAGAAGTAGAAGGCTAAGCTCAGGCTGCATATCTAGATAGAGCTAGATTACAGGCTGAGAGGCAAACAAAACTAGATGTAGCAAGGATCATATCATAATGCAGGTTGAAGAATAAGTTAGAGTAGGCCTAGAACAAATAAAGCTAGACTATGAAGCAAAACTGGAATTCGCCCAATTATCAGGCTCACCCTGACAGACCCATATTAGGAGAATGCAGGACCATAATATCTTTAGGGGTCAACCATTTATGATGTCCATGGGGGGGGGGGGGGGGGTTCCCCCGAAAAAAAAATCTGGAATGTGGACGTCCACAAGTGGAATTAAACCAAAATATATTTAAATTTGATAATTTAATAAACCGGGAGTGATCTCCCTAAACTTTCTCGAATATTCTTATATAAAATAACAGGGGATGGGAACTCGGGCTATAGACATGATTTTTAATCCATTTTAAATACTTAAAGTTTTAAAAATAGAATAAAATCTCGTAGACAAATTAATTGCACACCAAGTGAACGCCAAAAAAAAGCGCATAATAGTGCGCAATATTATTGGTACTTTTAAAATTTACATTAGTTTTTTGAGAAATCAGAAGTAGCGTAAAGTACTAATTCCGGTCAACAGAAATTACTCAAAATTTAACAGAAGGTAGAGAATTAGATCTTTTACTTACATGTGAAATTTCATTTATCTATCTGAAATAGTACTCAAGTTATAGACTTTTGAAAATTTCAAAGTAGGAAAAGTACCACTTCCGGTTATCGGAAATCGCTCAAAAGTTGATACGGATCTACGATTTTGATAAAATACTTATATATGAAATTTCATCAACCTAACTGTAACGGTACTCAAGTTATCGTGTTTACACACGGACAGAGAGACAGACAGACAGACATACGGACAAGATTGCAAAATTATGTTTCTCCGTATCAGTGAGGTGTAAAACGTCGAGATTTGTAAAAATCTCGATTTTTTTTTTTGCACGATTACAAGACTTTCTCTATACTTCGTATATACGAGAAAGTAAAAAATGCATAGAAAATTTAGATTATACATTAAATCAGCAGTTATCGTGGTAAACGTATCAGTAATGTATCTCTGTTTACCACCCGCCTGAAGAAAAAAGGGATGTTTTTTTTTTAACAAATGGAGGGGATGGGGCAGTGACCACAGCATTTTTCTAAAACAATTAATGGTATTTCGAGTTCATTTTTAAACATATCAAACAATTGCAACAAAATCATAGCAGGCCTACATCATTATTTTGTGTCAAAGCCTAAGATTATGTAGATCTAGTCTTTTTTTTTTCAAGTAAAAAACTCAAAACAACCACATTACATCAGTTACAATTAGATATTTAAATAACAGCGCATGTATTATGTGCTCGCTTGGTCAGGTGAGTAGGGCTAACGATCAGCGCGACAACAAAAAAGGGGGAGAGACGGTTTGTAATGGAAACACATGCAGCGTAAAGTTGAGTTAAAGGTCATATTGATTAGCCAGATTTACCTGAACCCATATAGTCTTTGATAGCCAGACAGCCACAAATGACAGTAAAAAGTTCAGTCTACAGAATCTTCAATTAAAAATAAAATATGACCGCCTGCAATCTCTGACTCCTTATGACAAATAGTGGGTTAAAAAAGCCTTTGAAAATTGAGAGGCAGAGTACCCAGCGTCCATATTCGATCACTCTTTCAATAAAGAACAATTTTAGAAAATCTTAGCACATTCACATGGTAAGTTAACACGCTGTAGACTTACGAACATCTTGGAAAAGTTTAACTCCAAATTAGGCCTAGTATTAGATGTTACCGAAAATATCAAATCCCTATATTACATTATTAGTTAATGTACACATTGCATGTAAATGAATTAGTAATTTTGCAGCATATATTGAGGTCTACCAAATTTTTGTGGAAGCCCACAATGGGGGGGGGGGGGGGGGGGGGGGGGGGGAGAAATGTCCAAAATCCCAAGTTTTTGTGGACATCATAAATGGATGACCCCTTACTCCACAAGCTCAGGATATAAACAGCTATAGATGGTCTTTTGGAGATGGTAACCGTCAAATGGTGCTTAACATAGATAGAGCGAGTCCCCTATCAGGACAGAGATATTGTTCCAGATGTAGACAGGACACACAACTACAAGCTGCAGATATGGGGAGGCAAACACTGACAGGACCATTCAATGCTTTGTTCTCCCCACTGGACCTTGGGGGCCATAAATTACAAAAGAGATGCCATCTCTGGTTAGCTGTGATCTAAGAGCAGCAATCAATGTTACCTATAAAGGGATTAGAAGTTTCATGGTGGTTACACAATGGTTTTAAGGAGGTGAGGAATGTTGAGGGGAGGGCAGTGGTAGGCATGATCCCTCTTTGATCTCCTCACTGCTGGACCCTGAGGGCTATAAATTACATGAGAGATGCTATCTCTGGTTGGCTCTGTTACCTCCAAAAGGATTACAAGTTTTGTGGTGGGTTAAAAATAAGTGGAGGCAGGGGTGGTTTTAGTGCCCCTCTAAAGAATTAATTAACTTGAACCAAAGGCAACAAGAGCCGCATAGCAATAAATGTTATAATTTTTCTGAAAATGTAAGCTAGAGGACAAAATTAATGTATTCATTTAGATGTAGTTATTATCTAACAAATAAAACCATTATGATATTGGATGAGTTTAGTCTAAGAATGATCAAAACTTTATAGCATGGTAAATCAGACTGTGTCTGCCATTTGGTTTTGGCATCAACAATCACTGAGCGAAAAAAATTCACCTAAATAAAACTATTATAACTCTAGTTATCAAAATGGCGTTAAATGTACAGCAACCAATGCTCTAAGCCTTGAAAAA